ACACCAAGTGCTTCTTGTTTTCCTCTATATGAACAGCTCATTTAAAGCAAAATGTTTACTCGACAAACGTGAAAAGGCATTTATAGGCACTGAAAAGCTCATATAGGCACGAACCTCAGAATAGGCACTAATTGTCATAATAAATACGTGATCAAAATGTTTGCCATTCCTTAGTTAGGGTTTATGTATGAAATACGCTCGAAACGGACTCCAGGAAAAAAACAGGCATTTTGCCTAATGTTCCGTCCGGTCTTTAGTCGTGACCATCTGACTTTTAGGAAGGGCTACGAAGACTGCAGTGCTCGAGTTCCTGGCTGCTATAGGCCAAGTGAAGTGACTAAGGCAAGTGCAAATCAGGAAGCGAGAGCGATGTAGCGATGTCCAGGTCACCAATTTATGGAAACAGGCAAACTCGTATCAGGACTGTGAGACCAGAAATTTGATATTTCATCTGAAGCCATTTTAGTCAGACGTGAACCAAAACAGGCACAACTATCTCATGCTTGGTGCGTCGGCATCGTCTTCTCCTAGTTGGATTCTTGGGATCCGCACTAGCGTGCTATGTGCTCTTGCAAGCAGGAACATTCAATATTCCAAAAGAACAACTGGAATGCGGCTAATCAAAAGTGATAACTTGACTTGCATGAAAAACTTGTATGTTTTGTCCTCTTCATTCAAAGCAAGTAAAGTTAAAGGGACACTAAAGAGCAAAAGGATTTTTTTATGTTGTAGTAAAGTACAATCTCGTTATTCCGAAAATGCCACTCTCGGGATGACATGATGCTTGGTAAGTGAGGGAACATGCAATTAATATTGCAGATGGAGACGCCACCTTGAGATTACCGCACCAAACACAGTGACGTCATAGATTGCGAAGTTGTCTACTGGGTCCTGCGCAGCTTCTGGTCGATAAAAATGAAGTATACATTGTCTTGTCATCTGTGGGTGCCATAGACCTAGCATATGATGTTTCAGAAAATTTCATTGAGCCAATGTTGGAAAATACTAAATATGTTGTTTGAAATTTCTGAACTCACGGTGAGGTTTAGCACAAAATTAAAAAAAAAAAAGAAACTTCAACCTTGATTTTCTTCGCTAATAAGGAATTTATGATAGTAAATCATGTGGCATTAGAGTTCTCAGAGTTTAGTTTGTCAATCCAAAATACGTAATTGCTTCTATTTAGTGTCCCTTTAATCCCTACTCTAGTGGCACTGATGCTATGCTGAGGCATTAGTGAACCAATTGCAATCCAATTGCAAACAACAAATTTTCCTGCACCTATTCTGTGGAAGCCACTGTCATGTGCGCATGCCAGATCACAGCACTTTCTCGTATTTGGGAAAGCTGCCTGAGGCTGAAAATTAGTTTGAAACTGCTTTCTCCTCATGATTATAGACACTGTTTTCAATGTTCACTTTCTGAAGCAATGTTTGAGGAACATGCAAGGTTGCACTCATAATGTACCATCACGCAGTATATCTTGCTGTTATGGTGGTGCCCGCAGTTATTGTTTGTTATCGAGTAATTAAATTCAGTTACATTTCTTAACGATGAGAGCAGTGCTAACTAGATCATTTATATAAATGCATGTTTTCTGTAAATGCACATTTCCTGTATATGCATGTTTTCTGCAAAATCTGTGCCACCAGACACTGTGAGGATGTGCTAATCTTGCCATCAGCAGTCATGTTTGGTTTTTATCGAAGAGTGTAGGAGCACACAGATTACAATGAAATCTACATCCATCTAATGCATTCGCGATGTGCTCATGAGAGCGCAAGAGCAACCCAGTCGGCCTGGCAGCCTAACATAACGAGTATGCTATGCATTGTTCCTATCACACTGGATGCTTTAGATTGGGATCAAGGATAATTGTATTCAGTCACTATTGAAAGTGCCCAGGATACGACACTGGCACTATAATAAGTGGTTTATACGGATGTGGTGGGCTGGAACAACGCTGCTGAACATTTTATGCAAGTGCTTTGAGCTTACGTTCACTAAATGCAACTTGTACCATTGCTATACATTGTGCTAAACATGTGTAGGGGGTAGGGTGAAAGATAACGGAACAGTAGAAACTGCTGGACCCATTGAGCAAACAGTACTGGAAGCCCCTCACCACGTTTCCTGGGACATGCTGTTCAGCTGACACCATTTTCTTTGCTAACTGCAAGACTGTCTGTGCTGGTACTCTGGTACATGGGCAGGTTTGCGGGTTGGGGCTTGTTCCGCCTGTAAGGGTGTGTAGAATTGACGGTTTTGTATCCACCAGTTTTGCCAGTTTGTATCATCCAGTTTTGTATCCGAAACCCCCTGGCATGCTCAGCCCATGGAGGCCACAATCCCACTCTCCACCCTGGTTCTAATATTGAACACCCATCTATTCTTCAGGTGCGTGCAGATACTGTGCCACCCACTTTATTATATTCTTCCAGTGCTATTCTGAGGCCTCCTTTGTCAATTGCAAAATCCTCCCTGGAGAAATAGTTGTAAGAACATAATCTTGACTTTTGCAATCATATGCTCATCTTTCGAAATGCTCTGAAAATTGAAATGAAGAACAGTGCTTGGCAGAAAAATTAATTGCAAGCCACATGGAGGAAACATACATCAGGAAAGGCCCCGGCGGTACATTTTTCGAAATGGAAAGGGCAGCCATCTTCCTTTGCTTCTCTAATGAGCTTGCCTACGGCAGATGGACGCAAGGCTGGAATATTTAGCGTGACAATCCGCTGACAGTGAGCACTGCTGGGGCAGTTTAGGCAAGATCCATCAAACTTTAAAAAATGGCCATGAAACAAATGCGGCCCCGCTTCTTTTAATGGCCTGGTGAGCAAGATGGTGGTGAAGATTCATGCTTTGATTGCATGAGAAAGTGCATTTAATACTTGCTGGCATGCTGATGTTCACACTCACATCACAGATTCAGAACACAATTTAGAAGTCCACATACAGCGTGTAGACACACCTTGTGTTAAACAAGATGGCTCTTAGAAATGTTTGTTGCGAAATCCATTTTCTTATTTTCCAGAAGCCCAGAGCAACCAAAGATTCTTTGCACAGTTGCGAGAAGTGACCGTTTGGCCCAATAGTCCCAGTAATTCTTAGTGAAAAAGTAACAACTGCAATGCAGTGGGTTTAGCTTGTGGGGATGCTATCATCTCCTGTAATGTTTGCGCTGCGTGGTGCACACGTGTCTCGTGGATAGGCCGCGCTTAGGTTTAACAGCTACCGAGCGGTAGGTTGCATCATGCTCTCACGCAGGTTATGGCTAGCGCGGTAGCACAATCCAGCGGAGAGATTAGGCCGGCGGACGAAAAAAAAGGGGGGGGGGGGGGGGGGCGAGCCTTGGCGTCTGGCGGCTGGTGTGGACAGACACCTTCTGCAGTGAGTCCATGGGGACAGCATCGTGCGTTGTCACCCGTGGATTCCTCGTGGTAGGTTTACCGTCGGCGACTGCAGCCTATCTGTGAGATACACGTGCGCCACATGGCGCAGACGATTCTACATGGGGTGATAGCACCCCCACAGGCTAAGGCATCACCTAACCTTTCCTTCCTCAATGGCTTGCCAGGATGCAGTAAGAATTCCTGACAATTTGTCACGCCACTTCCAAAAACCAATCACTGACTGACTGGATAAGTTGTTTTGAAAAATTCTCCTGACTGCTGGGTGAATAGACGCACTCTGTTTTATGACTCTGTCGTAGTTGTGGTACAAAGCCCCAAATTCACGCCAATTTTTAGGTGATGTTACACCTGTGTTCTTGTAGACGAGGCATGGATCAACAGCTGGTTTCCTGAGCAACTCTATTCGTATAAATAGGTGAAATGTTATCTTACTACTGACCTTCAGAATTAAACCAGCACTTGCTTGTCATAGTTGGCAAATATAATGTGGCATGAGAAATAGTAAACACCACTATTCAATGCTTTGGTCCATCTTTGCGCACTTACAGTCACAGAGTTGGGAAGTGATTATCTGTTAAAGGGGCCCTGGGACACTTTTTCGTGTGCACTGGAGTTTGTGTAGTGCTGAATACTGAGATGAACACAAAAATATTATTGAAATTGGTGCACGCAATGAAAGTTATTAGCCTTAAAACTTCAAATACATCAGCAGACGACGAGAAAAAAACGTTCCCTTTCGCATTTCACTCTCCCGCTGACGTCAAAGGCCGTTTCCAATCACAGCCAGCCTCTTACAGAGATTTACCGGACAACTTCCCTCATGGTGGCTATTTCGCGTCACTCATAGCATAGTTTTGCAATTGTTTTCACATTTTTATATTTAAAAATGGAAATCCTTTGGTATCTAAGGAAGTATAAGGAGCACTTTTACGATTTTAAGTGCACAATAGTGTGGCCTGTCTGAGACTGTATGGACAGTATGTGTGAAGATTAATTGGTAATGATCAAATTTATAATGTAATCGTAACTGCTCACGCATTTATTATAATTTTCTTTGTGACTTGTTGCATCGAATCTCAATATGCACGGCCTAAGTTGTCACTGCCACATTGTGAAAGGTCACTTCTGATTACAAAAATTGCTGTTGCTTGTTGCCCTAGTTAATGATAACTTTATATAATGTTAAAATAATATTATAACAGCTATGTTTTAGGCATTTCCACTCATCCAACGATAACGGTGCATTTTACTGTTTGAGAGGAAGCCATAAAAACATACTTAATTTGTGTTGTAGGGCCTCTTTAATGCAATTTTTTCGAAAAGTGATGCACCTATGCATTCGTTCCCGGTTTGAAGAACGTGTCTGGCTGCAGCTCACATTGCTACACTTTATTGTTGCTAGTACGTCTGCCTCAGTTCATTGTTAGTGTTCTTAGTATGTGTTTATTACATGTGGCTGAAAATGCAGAATAAACTGGCAAATCTTCCGCTCAAGTGAGAGGTAAAATAGCACTGGATCATTATTTTCACATCATATTGTGGTTTTGAGATGTTAAACCACAGATATTATGCTCCTTTTCACAGGAAGGTTCAACATGGAACAGTATTTGAAATAACGCCAAAGCCAGCAAATGAGGACAAGGAAGAAGAAGAAAAGTCAACGTTTGAACCTGCTAAACTTATGAAAAATTTGCGCCTTGACTTGTTGGGTGGAGATGAAGAAGACCCAGACTCTGAAATAACCCTTCCATTTGAGAGGATAGCTTCATCTATGCAGCCCATCACAAAAGATAGAGGGGTGCTCAAGAAAGTAAGTTCATTGATATGTGATTAATTAGTGATGAAAAAAGTATTTTAAATTTATTTGAAGTAAATAAAACAAATTTGCTATGCATTGAACATGAGCAACAACAGGCTGCTTCGGCATTACTTCTAAGTGATTTGGCTACTTGACTTAGGTGTACATATCTGGTTGTCTGTAGGGCATACTCCACTGTGAGAATGCGTGTGTGTCAACTCGTTGGACTTCACAAATTTCATGAAAGTGTGAGAAAGTTCTGCTGATCGCTGTTTGAGCCATCTGCTTCAGTCGAAGGATAAGAGATGTACTTGCTTCAGTCAACTTCATGCAGACAAGTTCCTGAAGCAGGCACTGTTGGCTACAGGAAAGTTGCTAAAAAAATCCATCAATTTAAAAAAAAACATAGTTTATCAGTATTTCCTGTGGTATGTTTGTTAATTATCTTATGCTGCATTTAAATTTATATCCTTTATGTAACGTGTGTTTCCCAGGAGAACGATGCACTTATATTTTAAAAAAGGAGATATTCTGCTGCTCTTGTTGGCGTTCTTCATAAGCCTGATGCTCCTCAGGCATTCTCACAGTACACAATTGATCTATACTTGCAATACATGATCACAACAATATAGCGCCAAGACTCAGCTTTTGTGGTAAGACAAGTACAAAAGGTGTTTTGCGCTTTCTGCACCTTATGTGGTGTTGCACTGCTTCCGGAATCGCCTCACTTTTGATCGAGTGATGGGGTTAATTTATGACATGATTGTCTGATGTCATGATGAAATCACTAATTCTAGTGATCTGTGTTGTCAGATGGTGACTTCATGACGGGATGTCATCGCTTGCTTGCATGAAGTCACGTGGGAGCCTTTTGGTATGCAAAAAGACACTGCGAAATCAAGAAATCAAGCCAGTGTGACATTAAGAGCTCTGCTGTAAAAATTTTGTCAAACAAAAAATGGAGTTTATTTAGAGTTTTGCTGAAACGGACCCACAGTGCAAAAATGGTGAAAATCTATGTAAATACGTGTTCCCCCAAGCATACGTAGTGTGCCTTTGTGACCTATAAATCTAGCCGGATGTTTTTGAATACAGGGATTACTTGTCATTTTCACCTCAGAAATTCAGTCTGAAACTTTTAAATAGAGGTGCACTCTGGTTATTTCTAACTATTTATGTGGGAAACACCTACATGAGAGTAAGAAAGCAAACTTTTTCTTACAGTAAAAATGAAGCCAATGCAGTGTTTTTGAAGCCTGTATAATCTATGTGTGCATGTATTTGTTACTCATCAAATAACCCTGAATGGCCTTATATTGTCACTAATTTCCAGTCAAGTATGCTGCAGCAGCACTGGGAGAAGTGTGTGTCAAAGCAGATGATGTGAATGCACCCTTTGAGAGGGAATACTTGCAATGAAGTCTTAGCGCTGACACTGCTTTGCAGGGATTCTACCCACACTGTTATACGCCAAATGCCAGGTGTACAAAAGTGCAGGCCTGGCGTTTTTTTTTTGCTACCACAGCATGAATAAAATTCATTTGCACTATTATTACAATTTGCATGCATAATGTGGCTTGAGTGGCAACGGCTAATCTGCTCCAAACTTCGAATTTGCCTGCGTGAAACTGTTTCGATATGAAATTTTACCTTCTCCAAATTCCTCCAAAACAATATCACTGTAGCCAACAACCCTTGGCGCACATTGGATAACAAACCCATCTGTTACTACTGTCGTCTGCTTGGCCATGTTGAGCGGTTCTGTCGCCGGCGCTTCCCTCATCCAGGTACCATTGATAAAACCTATGGCTACACCCACACAGATCCACCACAGATGCTGCCGCTCCATGCTGCTTCGGACACTCCTCTACCGAGTCGCCGCGCCTTCAACCCACATTGATGTTCGCCTTCACTGATGCTTCGGCGTGCACGATCGGTCCAAACGGAAAACTGACCATCGCAGTTCCGGGGGCAAGAACTGCGCCATCGTCGAACTCTACAAGGCCTCATTCTCTACCCACCAATGAAATAACTGTGTTTATTGAAGGTGTTGCCGTTCAAGCATTAATAGATAACGGAGCTGCCGTGTCTGTATTTAGTGAAGCAATGTGCCGCAAGTTAAGAAAAGTCATCATTCCGCTTTCTAGTCTCTCCCTGCGTACGGCAACAGTGCATCACGTAAATCCTTCTATGACGTGCATGGCTCGGCTACTGATACAGGACGTTCTGTACATGGTTGAATTCATCGCGTTTCCGCGCTGCTCACACGACGTCATATTAGGCTGGAACTTCCTTTCCACACATCATGCCGTTGTTGATTGTGTGCCAGCCGAACTAGAATTATCATCACTCTTCGACGCCAATTCTAATAAGCCTTCTATTTCTCGTGTTGTCACCGCGGAGATGGATATCCCACCTGTGTCTTCTGTTATTGTGCCGATCTCGTGCGACCATGCCTCTTTTTTGAACGTCATGTTCACGCCGTCAGAAGACGTCACTTTTCGAAAAAACGTTCTTCTACCTTTTCCTTTTCTGATGGTTTAAAACACTTGCGCCATCATTTATGCCACGAATATTCTTTCAGTACCAGTCACATTATTCTGTGGCGAATACTTCGGCCTTCTTGAGGACATTGATTGTGTTTGCACTAGTCAACTGCCCGATCACGCAACAAGCATTCAGATCACCAGTATTACTCCCGCTCCCATGTCCGCCACCTCTTCCCTGGACGCCTTCCTTGCATCGATTGATTCGAACCTTTTTGTTGTCCAACGAAGCCAACTCTTGACACTTCTCGACCGTTTCTGAATGTCTTTCAACTTCAAACAAATCAATCTGGGCAAAACATCTGCAATTATTCATCGTATTGACACTGGCACCCACACAGAATTGCGTCAGTGTTCATACTGGGTCTTTCTCGCCAAACTCCAAGTTATTGACACTGAAGTGTCTGATATGCTCAATCGTGGCGTCATACAGCTGTTCAACAGTCTGTGGGCCTCTTTGGTGGTACTGGTCAAAGAGAATGATGGGAGCATCCGATTCTGTGTTGATTACAGCTGCCTTAACAAGATCACGTGCAAAGATGTTTATCCGCTCCCCAGAATTGACGACGCTCTCGACTGTTTGCAAGGAGCAGAGTTCTTTTCCTTGCTGGATCTTCGATCAGGATACTGGCAGGTACTCATGGATGAAGGTGACCACGCCAAGACTGCGTTTGTAACTCCGGGCGGCTTGTACGAGTTTAACGTGATACCGTTCGGTCTTTGCAACGCCCCTGTCACCTTCGAGCATCTGATGGACAACATACTTCAAGGCTTCAAATGGCAGACGTGTCTTTGCTATCTGGACGACGTCGTCGTTTTTCCAAAAGACTTTGATACCCATCTTCCGCGCCTCGCAATTGTGTTGGATTGCCTCACAGATGCTGGGCTCGAACTAAATTTGAGAAAGTGCCATTTTGCCGCCCGGAAGCTCACCATCTTAGGGCATGTTGTCACCAAGGATGGTGTTCTACCTGACCCTGGAAAACTTCATGCTGTCACCCATTTTTCGAAGCTATCGACACTAAAAGAGCTCCAGAGCTTTATCGGCTTATGTTCATACCTTCGTCGATTTGATCATAATTTCGAATCCGTCATGGCTCCTTTAACACAGCTACTTTCTGACAGCGAGGAAATTTCAGCATGGTCCTCCGATTGCAATGACGCATTCGCGAAACTACGTCATCATTTGCTGACATCTCCACCAACTCTCCGTCACTTCGACCCAGATGCCCCTACCGAAATCCACCTCGACGCTAGTGGAGTCGGCCTTGGCGCTATTCTTGCTCAACGCAAGTCTGGCTTCGACGAGTACATCGTTTTTATGCCTGTCGCCCTCTTACTAGGGCCGAAGAGAATTATTCAGTCACAAAAAAGGAATGTCTGGCCGTCGTTTGGGCAATCACAAAATTTCGACCCTATGTCTATGGTCGCCCATTTGACGTCGTGAGTGATCACCATGCCCTCTGCTGGTTATCACCACTAAAATACTCATCTGGCCATCTCGCTCATTGGGCATTACACCTCCAAGACTATCATATGCCTGTTGTCTACAGGTCAGGCCACAGACATTCAGATGCCGACTCTTTTTCTCGCTCTCCGCTTCCCCATGAACATGGAGGTGCTTCTGTTTCCAGCCTCGATGCTGCGGCACTTTCGTACACTGACATGCCCTATGAGCAGCGCCAAGACGCTTGGATAGTCTCTATGATAGAGTTACTGTCTCAGCCGTCCCAAGTTACCGTCAATCGTTCACTGCAACGCACAGCTCGACACTTCATCATCCAGGCTGGACTCCTGTACTGTGTCGCAACTACCTTTCCGACGGCCGCTAATGGTTGCTTGGGATTTCTCGCCACCTACGTGCCAATATTTGCGACTCCTTTCACGCGGATCCTTAATGTGGCCACGCCAGTGTGATAAAAACGTATGCACGTTTCCGGCTGCGGTACTATTGGGGCGGAGTGTACCGCTTTGTCTAGTATGTACATTCGTGTTCCAAATGTCAACGCCGAAAAAGCCCACCGCACATAGCCAATGGACAGCCGTTGCCTTGCCCCTCCTGACCTTTTGACCACATCGGAATTTACTTCTACAGTCCCCTTCCCTACAGGCCTCATGGGAACCTCTGGGCAATTGTTGCCATTGATCACTTGACACGCTACGCTAAAATTGCTGCGCTGCCAGAGGCCACATTACGTGAAGTTGACTTGTTTAGCCTTCACAATCTTGTTCTACGCCATGGCACGCCTTGTGAGCTACTCAGCGATCGCGGACGTACGTTCCTCTCCGAAGCCGTACAAGCCATTCTGCGGCAATGCAATGTTGTGCATCGGCCAACCAGCGCGCACCATCTGCAAAGTTATGGAATGACCGAACAGTTTAATCGCTCACTGGGCGACATGTTATCCATGTACGTGTCCGCTGACCACACCAGCTGGAACCACATACTCTCCTTTGTAACTTACG